ATGTTGTCCAGTTAGGACATGCTCTGATTGCATGATTATTCATTATCGTCTAGAGGATATTTTGTCTTGTTTCATTTATCAAAAACCACGGGCAATAACCTTGTATTTATTTCAACATTGTCATAATCATATATATATATATATATATATATATGACATTAATTTGATAAAAACTAGTCTTCAGACAGTCTCGTTGTGTTTTATACAGAAAAAACAAAGTCATTTTAAAACTACGGAAATATGATCTTCTGTCCACAGTGGGACACCCGTCTAGCAAGATGGCCGCCTGTCATGTCATTATTCAATAGTGTTTCATTTCAATCTTTGAAAAAAATATCCATGATTTCATTTCTTTATTAAAATTGAGGATCATCTTCAACAACAAACTGGTTTGACTTTGTGAAACGTGATCAAAAGAAAAACAGCAAATAAAAACTTACAATTTTCATACAAAAGTGCAACAGTTGGTTTTCAAGCTGCAAATGTATGTGAACTCTCTGAAAAGCCCTTTAAAAGCCCTAACATTGAATAAACAATTTGATGCTAACAGCCTCTTTGAAAGTCTAACTGACTTGATGTGAACTCACTATAAGGGAAAAGTAGAAAAAACCCTGATACATTTCTAGATAGATCCATTCAATGAGACTGGAAACTTTCCTAAATAAAAAAAAATGGTGCAATTTTCAGGTAAAAATTTTCATAACGTAAAATATCAATCCATCATGGTGGTTGACTAACGCAATAAAAGATGAGGTCATTAACTCCTCCTATTAAAGGCTGACGTTGATTTTAACAGCTTGATTGATTGATCTGTATCAGAAATAACCTACAACTAAACTTTTGTTACTATGAACATTACCCTAAACTATGTTTGCTTGAGTGAGTATTTAGTAATTGAATTTTACTTTTTTTATATAGTTTCAGTGATAGTATTAGTATTTAGATACTTATCTCTAAACTCTGTAAAAAAAACTATGAAGTGCAGAAACGAAATGAATTGAAGTGAATGGAGTTTTACGTCTAACTTTTCTACACCATGTGAGGTAATGCTGGTAAGTGCAGAAGAAGCACCAAACAGATCAGATCATCACAACCTTTACTAGACTGACCTAACTCATCTAAATTTATTAACAGGTAACAACCAACAGATCATAATAGACAGTTCCTCATGCCCTTTCTTTAAGTCACTGGGCATATCTGACTATCAAAACCTTACTCATCATAAAGGAAGCTGACTAACCCTGGGGGCCATCTACTAATAGATTGACATTGATCAAGTCAAGTTTCCCAAGTCACTGGGCAAATTGCCTGTATATGACAACCAAAACCAAATTTCCCTGAATCGTCTAACTTCATTATGCAGCAAACAACAAATCAATTCAGCTCCTTATGCCCTTTCTTAAAGTCACTAGACCGTTTCCAAGGATTTACAGCTAAATACAGAAAAGTACAAGACAAATGGACAAAATCGAAATTGGCTGCTTAATAAGTCTTGAGACTTACTGATCATCTTGAGAAATAAATATAGTGATATTAAATGATGGGTAAAATCAGACTAGTTAATGTTTGTCTAAGAATTCAATGGTTAGACTAAGTGAAGACGTTGAATTGTCTGCTTGCATGATAGTTTTCATTTTACCAGAATTTATCGCTTCTCCATTTCCTTTTTGTATTCCCACATGTAAAAAACTTATTAAAAGAATGCTTTTATTACCAATAGTCGGCGTTTCAGACAAAACTTTTATCAACTCAGACACCTAAATTTCCCAGCCTTCATTTTTTATTTGTGTGAGCTCATTGTGGCATCTCCGAGCTCGTAAACTACCAGACTTTCTGAAGACTCCAGTATGAGAGGTCAGATATAACTTGCCAATAACTTCTCATGGATAGTTATTAAAAACTTTTCATGTTTACGTCTGTTACATAGAACCTGTTCTTAAAACTTTTTATGACTCGACATCCAGACAAAACAGAGAGAAGAGTCTTTTTACATGTCTACTATTTCATGTTTTTAACCAATAAACTACGTATTTTGTGTCAGTTTTCCAGTCTTTATTTCAGTATTTTTTATTAACTGAAAGCTTTATGTCATTCAATATATTTTTTCATATCTTTTAGTAGATTCTTAATTAAAAGAATAAATAATAGTAAAAAATGTATTAGTATTGCCAATAAGCTTATGCCATGGAACCTTATTCTTAAAAACATTACTTAAAACATGAGTTTAGTCTTCCAGTAATCCCATTGGTCAATCAAAATTGATTTTTGCGTTTAATCCAATCAGATTAATTGGTTAAGGTTCCATGAATTGGGTCCCTGTAGATTACGCTTCCTCACTTCTCACATCTGATTGACTTTGCTTTCTCAATTGCCCCCTGTCCGTGTCTGAAATGGACAATTATTTGCGAGCTCAAAAATGCATATTTTTAAAATCTCCCGTGTATGTTAGAAAATCAAAAAAAATTGATCTAAAAGTTTTCTATATCTTACCAGGTTTTCCATAAAATAAAATCCATGTCATTTATTTATCAGCTGATTACATCATTTACTTTGTGAATCATAAACCAGTTAACATACTCGATTCACAAATTATTTGATGTTTCACAAGGAAACGTGGTTAGCTCTGTACCTCAAAGCAGTTATCACAAGTTCTGCCTTACTCCACATTGAGTCATAATAAACTTTAAGATTTTACCTATTCAAATTCTACAGAGACAATGGAATAGGAGTTTACAGACCCATTGCACAAATTATTAAAAGTAAGAAAATTTTCATGAATTATTCAAAATCCTAGCCATTTCATTCAAAGTTTCACAAATTATTCTATTATTATTGTCATCTACAATTTGATGTATCTCAAGATTTTAGGTAAAATATTCATTGGTCACATAAGTCACAAAAGTCCCAAATTCCTGATCATATCAGCTCTTAATATTTCTTCAGATTACCTGCGTATCCCATTGTTAATTAAGTCTTACCTTCTCAGTAAAATTAACGTCCCATAACTACCAAGTTATCTTTATCTTCATATTTTAATACTTCATATACTACACATTCAAAGATTTAAAATTTAAAACTACTTAACAATATACCATGTATGAAAACATCTACTGTTTACCAGTCCATCCCAACAAAGACCTGAAGCCTTACTGAATATTTCCAAGTTCAAACCTTATGCTTATGAGCAGCCTATGAGTTTTTAAAATGGTCTAAGATTCCTATCATCCTATAAGATAAAGTCATAATTCAAAGTGTCAAAGTTACCAACCTCCAAACTATATATACCATACACAAAAACATCCACCGCTTACCAGTCAATCCCAATTGAGGCCTGAAGTCTATATGAGATCATGTCATGTAAACCGTATGAGCAACGACGAGCACTGTGTAACATCCTGTGAGTTTTTAAATATTCTAGAGCTTACCTGTATATCCCAGGTCAGGTGTATTATCGATGGATTGTGTCTGACCCAGACAGCCGAGCCATCGACAGACAAGCAGACGGAATATATAAATAATTCAATCAATAGATAGGAACTTACAATGTCATTGTGGAGATCAACAGTCTCGTTGACAGATTGTCATCAGACTAAACCAAAGAGAACGATGCCACCTGAGAAAACTTCCAGACTGTGAAAAGATGTCGGATTGCTAACACGATATCCGTGTATAAGCTTACATTGTTATATTATTAATATTAATTATAATGATACTATGATAAAAGGAAACTGTCTGCACGAAAGTTTTTTTTTTGTAACCATTTTTTGTTGCAGACAGGAATCTTGAGTAAAATCTGCCGCACGTCTGCACTTCCATGACAGAATTTTGAATGACTTAAGCAAATTTTTTCACTTCGGTGACTGTTTTCTTCGTGAATCTGAACTAAGGACTAGGTAATTACACAACAGAGTGTCACTGTTCGACAGACGCATGTGATGCACAACAGCCCTGCCTATTCAATCATTGGATCCCGATGTCTCCAGAATGTAACAGACTCGTCAATTAAGACTTCTTAAGTAAATATCATATTAGAATCTTATATACTATTACATTTGTCTACATACAGGTTGCTCCAGGCCTAATACTGAGACAAAACTATTTCATTTTAATTAAAGATGAAGATGAAGTCAAAAGACGGAAAGTGAAAGAAGAGGCTGAATTACAGGGTCTCTGGTAGACAATTTGTGTTAATTATCCCCTATACTATAATAGGTATTTAATAAGAGCTATTATCTGGCGCCAGGAAACAGTTCTTCCATAATGGTTTACCTTAATACATTGGGTTTTAATTGTAGGCTTTCTCGGGAATTTGGTGCCAAAGGTTCGAAACTCCTCCAGGGAGAAATATTAAAGGATTATTGCTCTTGCTATCTATTTGGTTGCGGCCTCTTTAATTGTTAATATATTAAAGTATTTGAAATGTTTCAGTCAGTCAATGTGATTTGGTGAAGACTATAAATTCCTTGGACAACAAACAACTTTAAGCAAAACCTCTACTGAAATTGGCCATTATTATGTTTTTCTCTGTCATGAATCAGCAGATGCTTTTGGGAGTAGGAAATTTTTCTTACCTTCATTTTCTGATAATTTTGATTGATCATGAATGGTTGTCTTGGGACTCCTGTAAAAGAGAGAATAAATATTAATCAATGATGCTTCATCCAAACTTTTTTGCATTTTTTAATTGTACTTTCTTGAATAAGATGCTGTCATATTTATGTTGCTGTTCGTGCCTTTATATTTATGACATTTATCACAAGTTACAAAAAATAAATGTGATTATTTTGCTAACATGTCAATGTTGAAGTCAGTTTGCGCATTTTCAATAATACTAAAAGACAGTAACATTCCCAGTCAACAGCAAGCCTGTTGAACATTCCCCAGTCAACAGCAAGCCTGTTGAACATTCCCCAGTCAACAGCAAGCCTATTGAACATTCCCCAGTCCACAGCAATCCTATTGAACATTCCCCAGTCAACAGCAAGCCTATTGAACATTCCCCAGTCCACAGCAAGCCTATTGAACATTCCCCAGTCCACAGCAATCCTATTGAACATTCCCCAGTCCACAGCAATCCTATTGAACATTCCCCAGTCCACAGCAAGCCTATTGAACATTCCCCAGTCAACAGCAAGCCTGTTGAACATTCCCCAGTCAACAGCAAGCCTATTGAACATTCCCCAGTCCACAGCAAGCCTATTGAACATTCCCCAGTCCACAGCAATCCTATTGAACATTTCCTAGCCAACAGCAAGCCTATTGAACATTCCCCAGTCCACAGCAAGCCTATTGAACATTCCCCAGTCCACAGCAAGCCTATTGAACATTCCCCAGTCAACAGCAAGCCTGTTGAACATTCCCCAGTCAACAGCAAGCCTATTGAACATTCCCCAGTCCACAGCAAGCCTATTGAACATTCCCCAGTCCACAGCAATCCTATTGAACATTCCCCAGTCAACAGCAAGCCTATTGAACATTCCCCAGTCAACAGCAAGCCTATTGAACATTCCCCAGTCCACAGCAAGCCTATTGAACATTCCCCAGTCAACAGCAAGCCTATTGAACATTCCCCAGTCCACAGCAAGCCTATTGAACATTCCCCAGTCAACAGCAAACCTATTGAACATTCCCCAGTCCACAGCAATCCTATTGAACATTCCCCAGTCCACAGCAATCCTATTGAACATGGTATATAACAATACTAAAATAACAGTAACATTTATTGGTTTTGATATAAATAATTGAATAACAAGTTGCTATGTTTTTTAATTAATAAACTTATAGATAATCATTGTTCTAGTTTAATAACTAACTATGATCCATTCGTATTCCCAATAGACTCGCAGAAAATCAATTTTCCCGTCTAGCCAAAGAATTGTGCTGATGTAAGCTGGGTGAATGAGTTGAAACTATAATGCGTGGTTTTATCAATATCTCCCACTTCAAACCAACCAGGCTGTATTCATACTTTTATTGGATTTTATACAACAACCAACTTAATATATATACCTCTAAAACTAGGTTTTAAAATCTATATTCAGACAATAATACCAATCAAACACTCTAGAATATAACCTGATAGATATGAGTTTCATTCTGTACAGCCTGAAGCACATGGGGGCTTGGTTTATACATTTTGTATTTTTTTTCATATCAGCTCCTCTGATCTGTATCACTGACAGGGAAAATCCTGATCTACATCATTGACAGGAGAAACCCTGATCTGCATCACTGACAGGAGAAACCTTGATCTGCATCAGTGACAGGAGAAACCCTGATCTGCATCAGTGACAGGAGAAACCTTGATCTGCATCAGTGACAGGGGGAAAACCTGATCTGCATCACTGGCAGGAGAAACCTTGATCTGCATCAGTGACAGGGGGAAAACCTGATCTGCATCACTGACAGGGGAAACCTTGATCTGCATCAGTGACAGGGGGAAAACCTGATCTGCATCACTGACATGGGAAACCCTATCCAGCATCCTGATATGGAGAAAGCTGCAAATGGGGAAACCAATTAACATTGGAAACTACTTCCTTTACATAAACATGAATTATACCAAGATTAAAATCATTAAAACACTTTCATTTAATTTTTAAATCTATATATTTATATATATTTTATACAAAATGTACTTATTCAAAATAAGTCATTCATTAAAACCTATTTCATAAATGAGGGGAAAGTGCTGTTTATGACTCAAAGAACCAAATACTATACTATAATACTTTACATATATTTACAGTACATTCAAATCAAAAATTTACAGCTCTAAATCTTTCGATAAAAAATATTTATCAACAAAATTTTGAAAAAGTTCGACAAATCAATCAGGACTGGTACATTAAGAGAAAACGGGAGATAATCAACAACCCTGATTGTGGTGATAAACCACTAATCCAATAATCAACAGTTATAAAACCTACTGGGCCAATATAGCTAAGAATAGGTAACTAATAGCAACCACCCAAACACAGACAGTGACTGACTGCTGATAAAATACTGGGTTGTCTGGACTTATCGGGTCAGAGACTCTACCATTTCAACTTCCAGGCCAATTTTACCAATTCCACTGTATAATATTACTGAGAATGGACTCTTCTGACAGCTGCACTTGTCTGCAGGAATCAAGAATCGAAATAGAAAATTCTGACCAAGATCTTACCTCATAGTTTCTTTACCGTGATGAAACTTTACGAAATTTAACTGATTCACATTCGGATTAAGAATATATTTTATCTGATTGGTTAATTATTTTTTTTATCTCAAATCAATTTAAGCAATTGATCAATTAAATTACAAATTCATCTTAAAGTCAAGTTTTCTTGTAATTTGTCTCAGATATTTTATCATATTAGGTTGATTTCTTACTATAACGTCTCACAAAGTAACAAACTTTGTTGAATGTTGTATGTATATGTATATTAACCAATACAGATGAACATTTCTTTGTATCCTATTAATACATACATTATTCTCTGCACATTCTTCTGCAGTAATACAATAATTAATGCAACTGAATTTTCACCTTGGCCTGTGCTTTTGTAATTTCAATTAGATACTGTTAAACAGCTTTCATCAACACAACAGTGAACAGTCAAGTCTTGGCTAAAGATCATATGTACCATAAGGTTTCAAATATACCTGATCCTAAAGAATCCAATTACATAACTTTAACTTTAAACCATTCCAAAAACCAGAGAATTGCTGAGGCCTGGCCTAACCCTGAGACCATTCTAATGGTACTATGTAATGATATTTCACCATAAATCACCAGTAGAGATGAGTATTTTAGACTCACTGTATCTATTTATTATTCCAACTATCAGCCTTATTTCATAAATCACTTCTTTTCTTCATAATTACAGTGTTTATTTCATGTTTTTGCCAGTCGTGTCTGACTTTGGTATCAAAATAAATGGATGTTAAGTAAATTGGGGATTTGAGGTAGAATTGTTGGAGAATTAAGAGTTGTCTTTCAAATGCAACATATAAAAAAAAAAAAATTTTGTATTTGGTCATTTTTGGCTTTCGAATCGAAAGGTACTTTTAAAGGTCAGTTCTGTCAACTTCATCAACAGAGGAAAATACCCAGAGGATAGACCCCTCAAAGATTTAAAAAAAGATCTACACACTGATCTAGCCAATCAATTACCTTCAGAATACAATTTCTAACATTTCCTCATCTGGTATTCCGTGCGATCACTTTTCAAAGTCTTGATTTTTTTCTCGTAAAATTCTAGTGATAAATTTATTAATGGTAATAGAATTGTATGTCAGTTGAGATAGCCATATTTTTATTAATTCCATTCTGTCTACGGCAATAAATTTAATCGTAAAAAACATTCAAAACTGAAATTTGATGCGTGTGTTTTTTTCTTTTGATCATAGAGTCAACCATCTTTGTTACGCGATCCTGTCTGCTCTAGACAATATAAACCGTTTTAAAACATAAAATAGACACAAATCGTTTAATCTCCCGTATTATTTTCCAACGATTCAGAACTCTTAAAAAGATTACCCCAAATTAATATCTTTGAAAAATCCATCAAACCTCAATTAAAATTATAACGAACTCTTTAACTCCCTTTACGACCCATAGGATAAGTTGGCTCAAAGCAAAAATATGTTTTGTATTTCTAATTTTATGATTTTTTCATGTTTTTAATCTTATTATTTCTTATCACTGAGTTTCAGGGTAAATTAAAGGGACCAATTGTATATTAGTTTCAGAAAAGTCATTTTTTTTAGCTAAGTAATCAGTAATAGTGTTCACAGATCAACATCAAAATTTTAGCCTACAAATCCATGTGTGTCCAGAATTGGCCACGTCTTTTCTTTTTGACTGTCTTATTTCACTAGTAGTAAGAACTAAATGAGAAAGAGGAAGCAAATTCTAGAATAATTTTCTATAAACTATAACATAGTATCCTTGTCAAATCAAGTAGGATTTCATTAATATCTGTATTATCATGAATGTATAATAAAGAGTTAGTAAAGTAACTTTATTCGAGAAGGATAGTTGATATTCATCAGTTGTTTTTTTATGGTCGTTAATAAACCGAGTAAATTATACACCTCAATTCTCTCTGTCTTTGAAGCTCTGACAATAAGACAATCTTATCTTAGTTTAATTTGGTCATTCGTCTCATCTGATTTTCATAAACCATCTATATCTTTGTCATATATTCATTTATTTTGTCTATCATCTGCTCCAACCAAATTATTACCTAGTCTGATTAGGTCTGTCTCAATGAAATGAGCACGTTGAAAAGATTACGTCTAGCCGCGAAACTGTTTTTTTATCAATTTAATAAGGGGTAATATTTTTACGTCCTCAGTCACTACCATCAATATCATTGACAATAAATGGTGATATATCACTCACTAGTTCTTGGTAGACACTCACTTATACTTTCTTTTCATGTCCAAAATTCATAAATATTTCCCCCCTTCCATCAAAATACACGTATAGTCATCTTTGTACTGGTAATCTTTAACGTCCAAAATTCAAATGATTCCCCCCTCCTATCAAAAAACCAACAGTCATCTTCGTACCGGTAATTTTTTCAATACGAAAAATTCACAAAAATTGACCCTCAGTCCTCCCCAGTAAAAAAGGGCAGCATATCTATACTTGACATGGTTCCTATACTGGTCTGAGCACTTGTCAATATTCAAGGTATTTCAGACCAAAGACTGCTTCAACTCATATAAGTTCATTCATTGAGCTAGAAATATCTGAGACATAGCTATCATTTCATTCATTGAGCTAGAAGTATCTGAGACATAGCTATCATTTCATTCATTGAGCTAGAAGTATCCGAGACATAGCTATCATTTCATTCATTGAGCTAGAAGTATCTGAGACGTAGCTATCATTTCATTCATTGAGCTAGAAGTATCTGAGACGTAGCTATCATTTCATTCATTGAGCTAGAAGTATCTGAGACGTAGCTATCATTTCATTCATTGAGCTAGAAGTATCCGAGACATAGCTATCATTTCATTCATTGAGCTAGAAGTATCTGAGACGTAGCTATCATTTCATTCATTGAGCTAGAAGTATCTGAGACATAGCTATCATTTCATTCATTGAGCTAGAAGTATCTGAGACATAGCTATCATTTCATTCGGCTATTGATATACACCAGAGTAATTGGGAAAGTGTCTGTTATTTTTTGAATTATTATCTGCGTGAAATGAAGTAGAACTTGTTGCAGTGTGCAATTAGGGAAATTTCTAGCATTGGTCCTGAACCATGTTCAGTATTTTGAGTATTTGAGATGAAGCTCTCGTTTCATTCATTGAGCTAGGAGTATTTGAGACGAGGCTATCGTTTCATTCATTGAGCTAGGAGTATTGGAGATGTAGCTATCATTTCATTCCGGTAATTGGGAAAGTGTCTGTTAATTTTTTCAATGATTATAACAAGTCTGCTTGAAATGAGTATAACTTGTCCAGCGTTCAGCTTCGTTAGTTTGTATTTAATCACAAGTTTACGGAAGTTCCAGTCTTACTTCATCAATAACAAAACTAGCGCTTGACTACAGACTCAAGCTGGAGAAGAATTCAGAATTTTCTATCTAATATTTTGGTATAACATCATTGAACATTTGTATGAGGCACAGCTCTTTTTCACAGACAAATCACAGTTATCAGCATATCTTTAGAACCTTGACTAAATAACTAG